GCATTCAGGCGGGCAGCTTGGGGGCAGTAAAACCATGGCTCAGCTGCCTGATTTTACTGCCCCTTGGCCGCCCATGTGAAAGAGCCTTAAGTTGCCGCTTTTTGGGGGGAGGATGGGGTAGGGGGAAGCAAGTACCCTTTTTTGTCAGTACCCGCTTCCACTTCCCCGATCCTCCCCTGACCCCCCCACCCCCTCTCTGCTCCCCTGATCTCGCACATGTGGGGAGCCGGCTGTGAGATATCAGGAAATTACAGCTGGCTCCCAAAGACCACATTTTTTTTTGTAGCATTTGTAGCTGCTGACTGTTCATTTTCACAACACTGGATGAAGTTGATCTTTAAAGTCTATTTAAAACTTTATGTCCACCTGACACTACCTTTGTCCACTGGACGACAACGCTGTTGTGCTATTTTGCTGCAGAACAAACAGTGTTGTCACCCTGTGAAAGGAGGTAAAAAATAATAAACAGCAGGCAGGATCAATAGGTAATAGGAGAACATCACAGGGAGGGCGAAGAAAAAAACAAAAACTGCTGTGCTATTGCTTGTGACAGGCTGTATAAGATGTCATTTTTCATTTGTCAATGGACATTAACAAAGTCTAGCATCAAGTCAATTAAACTCCTGGGACATTAATCTGGTCAGGTAAGTAGCAGGGGTGGTTGGTAATCAGTTCCAACTGTTTTGGTGTTAATGAAATTAACAACAGGTGCGCTAGATGGGCAACAATGAGACAACCCCAAAAACAGGAATGGTTTTCCAAGTGGAGGCCACTGACATTTTCTGACTAGTTTTGCATTTGGCTAGGGTCAATGTCACTACTGGTAGCATGAGGCCATACCTGGACCCTACAGAGGTTACACAGGCAGTCCAACTCCTCCAGGATGGCACATCAATACGTGCCATTGTCAGAAGGTTTGCTGTGTCTCTCAGCACAGTCTCAAAAGACTGTATGACCTCCATGATTTGTAAGGACAGCACCAAGTCTTCTAGGCACGGAATGAACAAGTTGGTGACATATTGCAACATCGATCTTTTTCCATTCCTCTTTTAGAGCCTGGATGCTGGATGGCGAATGATGCTTGTCTCTTCAGAATTCCCCATAGGTGTTCAATTGGGTTCAGATCAGGAGACATACTTGGCCACTGAATCACTTTCACCCGGTTCTTCTTCAGAAATGCAACAGTGGCCTTAGATGTGTGTTTTGGATCATTGTCATGTTGGAAAAGTGCACGACGACCGAGGGCACAGAGTGATGGCAGCATCTTCTCTTTCAATATAGAGCAGTACATCTGTGAATTCATGATACCATCAATGAAATGCAGCTCCACGACACCAGCATCACTCACGTATCCCCACAGAAGGACATTGCCACCACCATGTTTCACTGTAGGCACCATGCATTTTCCTTTGTACTCCTCACCTTTGCGACGCACAACAGATTTGAAGCCATCAATTCCAAAAACATATATCTTGGTCTCATCACTCCAGAGTACAGAGTCCCAGTAGTCTTCCTCTTTTTCAGCATTGGCCCTGGTAAATCCTAAGTGGGCTTTTTTGTGCATGGGCTTTAGAAAAGGCTTCCTTCGTGGACGACACCCATGCATACCATTCCTCTGCAGTGTACGCCACAGGCGGGTGTCACGGGAAACAGTCATCCCAGTTTAGCTTTCTACTTTTTTAGCTAGCTGCAATGAACTTCCATGGAAATTTTCTTCAACATTTCTCATCAGAAGACACTCCTGTCGAGGTGTTAACTTCTGTGGACAGCCTGGACGTCTCTGTGAGATGGTTGCAGTTCCATCTTTGTTAAATTTTTGCTATAGTATTCTGACTGATAAGTAAGTCTTTGCTGATCTTCTTGTAGCCTTCACCTTTCTTGTGTAAAGAAATTATTTTCTGTCTCAGGTCATTTTTTCTCCATGTGGTGCCATTGCTGACAGCATGAAATGGGAAGAGGTTTTCTTTGTTAAGTAGCGTAAGACTTTCACTGGGGTTTATTCATTTTTGTAACATGGTCTTGAATAAATTTGTTAGGAAAAATACTTTTTTTGTGTGTGCAAATTAGGAAAAAGTTTTTGCAATCAATGTCCCACATTTGTGAGTATTTTGTAGTATAGTGTCCTATAGAAAATGTTGATTCTGAAAGGAAACTAAAGTTTTTCTGAAAAATCTGTTGGGGTGTACCAATTTATGCTGAGCACTGTACATATTGAAATCTGCCCTCACAAAAATGCAAAAAAATTCATATGAGTACAGTGTTGCCTGACCGCGCAATTGTCACATCTAGGATACTCCTCTACACAACTCATAAAGTAGTCAACGGTCTCCCAGGAATAGGAAAAGGAAGCACAGAAACACCCAATAGTGCAGACTGCTAGTTTATTTTCATTAACCACTTGCCGCCCAGCCACCGCATATAAACGGCGGCAGGGAGGCACTCGTAGGCAAAAGCACGTTTTAAAACGGCTGCCTTCAAAACAGGTAGCCGCCCTACCTGTCCCGCGGGTGTCAGCAGCGGGTGTCAGCCGCCGGGTCACGGACGGTTTTTACCGGCTGTTTTCCCGCGATTGACGGTGATTGCTGACACAGAGCAGGGCTGCATTGTTTACACACAGCCCTGTTCTGTGTCAGTTCTCTGACAGCTTGTGAGAAGCTGCAGAGTTTCTCTCCCTCCCCCTCCCCCTCCAGTACACACCCCGCCCCCTAGTAAAACACTCCCCTTACACAGCAAATTCTAAAAATGTTAACCCCTTCCTCCCCAGTGACATTAGTACAGTTTCAGTGTTTTTTTTTCACTGATCACTGTATTGGTGTGACTGGGGATGTCAGTGACCCCAAGTCAGTTCCCCCCCGTGTCAAAATGTCCGCCGCAGTCCCGCAGTCCTGCCATAAGTCGCTGATCGCCGCCATTATTAGTATAAATAAAAATTAAAAATCCCAGTATCTTTCCCGCCATTTGTAAACTCTATAACTTTCACGTAAACCAATTAATTTACACGTATTGGGATTTTTTTTAGCAAAGACATGTCGCAGAATGCATTTTGGCAGAAATTTATGACTAAATTTGATTTTTGCATTTTTTTTTACTGGACATGTTGTATAGCAAAAAGTCCAAAATATTGTTTTTTTTCCCTCAAAATTGTCAGCCTTTTTTTTTTTTATAGCGCAAAAAATAAAACCCGCACAGGCGATCAAATACCACCAACAGAAAGCTCAATTTATGGGGGAAAAAAGGATGTAAATTTCATTTATGTACCGTATTGCATGACCGCGCAATTGTCCATTAAACTAGCGCAGTGCTGTATAGCAGAAAAATGGAGTAAATTGCAGTATTTATACCATAGTTTGTAGACGCTATAACTTCCACACAAAGCAATCAATATACACTTATTGGGATTTTTTTTACCAAAAACATGGAGCAGAATACATTTTGGCCTAAATTTATAACCAACTTTGAGTTTACTATATATTTTTTATAGCTGAAAGTAAAAAATATTGTTTTTCTTCAAAATTTTTGGCCTTTTTTTGTTTATATAGCGTGAAAAAATAAAAAGCGCACAGGTGATCAAATTACACCGAAAGAAAGCTCTATTTGTGTGAAAAAAAGGACATAAATTTTGTTTGGGTGCAGCATTGCATGACCGCGCAATTATCAGTTGAATTAGTGCAGCGCCGAATAGCAAAAAGAGGCCTGGTCATTAAGGGGGGTAAATCCTCAGGAGCTCAAGTGGTTAAAAGGTTAAAATTTCAGTCTAATGTTAAAAGCTCATGAAGGCATATCATAGGGTATTAGCATACTCGACTTTCCAAAATGGAGTCTAAGCTCTGTCCAGCATGATGACGTCCCTGCCCGTGGATGCGTTGCGCCCCAGTTGGCCTTCTCAAAGGCTCAGCTGGCCTTTGGCCACACTCTGGAAAGTGATCTGCAAAAGTTTTCTTTTTTAAAAAAAACCAAATGTCTTTTTTAGTATACAGCAGCTTAAAAGTGTGACAATGATCCATTTATCCGTGACAAAGATATTAGGCAAAGTTTTATTTAGTTGCCAAGACAAAATAAAGGACGTTCTCTATAAATGACACATCTAGCAAGGCAGACGGCTGGTCCAGCTGTCTTTTAGTTTTCGTGACCTCCTGTACGATCAATCAGCATCCAGCCGGCTGCTGGGAGTTACGCCAGACCGGATTACGCTGTGCTCATCCAGTACATGATATGGGGACAGCACACAGGGCTCAGCTACAGATCCCCATACTATCATGGTGGAAAAGCCTAACCCCTTACCGCCCAGTCGCGGCGTGCTTTTCACAGGGTTTTTAAGTCAGGGGAGGGAGGCATCGTCCAATCACATGACCACTGTGACTGGCTGTCACAGTGGTTATAGGAATGGGAACCAGCCCTTCCAGCTGCAGGTCATTACCAATGACCGGGAGCCGTCTCTAAAACTGGGAGCACAGTGCATTTTAAAGTGGAACTCCAGCATTTTTCCATTTTTGCTTTTTATTTCCCCCCCCATGTTAAAAAAAAATATTTTCTATTTATTACAGCTACTTATATAAGGCTGTCAATTTACACAGCACTTTACATGTGTGTAAGACACCAGTGACATCATTATTGCCTGTGCAGACAGCGTGACAACCGGCATTTCCCTGTTTACATGTGATCAGCTGTGATTGGACACAGCTGATCACATGACTGAGCAGACATCTTCGGCTCTTTCCGTAGATCGGTGATCCGCTGTGTCCGAGGGACACAGCGCACCGCCGATCGCCGGCTCCCTGAGCCGCGCATGCGCGGTGAGAATGGCAGGACGTCATATGACGTCCTCCCAGAACGAGAGAACCACCTTGCGCCCGTCATTGGACTATATAGCGGGCGGGAGGTGGTTAACAATAACAAGAAGTGGTTGTCATGGTTTGGTTGATATTTTGCCAAGGCATTCAGTGTAAGCCTGATGGATCGCTTGATGGATGTTTGGTTAGATGTGTCTGATAAGCACTCACCTGTTCCATATAACATAGCAAGTAAGATGGAAGAAATCCACGCTGTGTCACTGTATCCGATCCCAAATTCTCTGATAAGTTCCTTAAAAAACACACTGACTGCCTTGGGGAAGGCGTAGGAGAACCCGGTGATGACAAAACATCCGAAGAGCACAGCCCAGCCCCAGCCACCATCGGGGGCCTTCACCTTACTTGGATTGTCGTCCACAACCACCGCACCCATGATGCTCTACTCCGACTGCCTGTAAGAAATACAGAGGGCAATGTGATTACAAGGAACAATATCCTAGGGTTATGTATGTTTATGTACAGATTCCCTTCAGCAACACTTTTATTCTGGAGGAACAATAGGTTTCAAGTAGTGTTGAGCTTGGGTTCAGTCCCAACCCATGTTTGGTTGGACCCAGAAGGAAGCTGCTAGTCCCTGGCCAATCAATTGTGGCCAAGGCATTCCCTGCCCCACCGCTGAATGTAAATAAAGGGTTATGAGTGGTGATTACATTATTCACCTAATATGGCCACATGGCCCTATTGCTCCACCCCATTTGCTGAGAAGCCATATGGCCAAATTAGGTCAATGATGTCACAAGCATCGCTGTTCATTTGTGTACGTGCAGCTGCAGGGTGGGGATCACCTCGGCAGAAATTGCTTGACCTGACAACTTTTTTCCAGATTTGTCCTAACATGGGTTTGGGGTGAACCCAAGCTCATCCAAGGATCATTTCAAGGAGGACCTCCAACCTCTACCCCAATGAACCTACTTTAAGAATAACTGTTTAAGTCACGGGTATGTGGCAGCTGGTCCATAGGTCTTCCAGAGCTGCTGAAACCACAAGAATCATACACATTACAATCTAACTGCACAATCTCTGTACAATCTCATTTAGATCTGCCAAAACTATGTGATATTGTAACCTATCTGTATCCAATAAAGCAGACCTTAACTCTGCATAGCTCTTGGTATATCTAAAGATTGTAAAATCAGAATGCAATGTGTAAGGCAAGTTTAAAGGAAATCATACACCAATATGGAACCAGTTAGGAATGAACATGTAACAATGTGAATTGCCACACCTAAAGTGAACCTTTGTCTTGGCCATGTAGAGGAAAGCAACAAGGTCAGTTAACTGGCCTTCTTTTCAGCATTCTGTACTTGCCTTTCCTTCATTCCCCTACTGGGATCATAGAGATATACCCCTGGGTGCTGGAAGATATACCCCTGGGTGCTGGAAGATATAGCCCTGGGTGCTGGAAGATATACCCCTGGGTGCTGGAAGACATACCTCTGGGTGCTGGAAGATATACCCCTGGGTGCTGGAAGATATATCTCTGGGTGCTGGAAGATATACCTCTGGGTGCTGGAAGATATACCCTTGGGTGTTGGAAGATGTACCCCTGGGGGTTGGCAGATATACCCCTGGGTGTTGGAAGCATGTGGCTCACTCCGCTTCCTTTCACATGACAGCACCGATGCTTGGTGATTGGCTCCAAGCTCTCACATGCGAAGGGTAGAGAGCCCTCTGCTAAATTAGTACGGGACGTTTTTTTTTTTTTTTCCTAGTTGCTACATAGAGAAACAAAGGGACATCCTCACTGGATGTAACTGACAACAGCGAGAGCCAGTGGCTTGCTGTGTCTCAGCCAATGAGGAGGAAGAGACCCAGGAGAGCCGTTGCTCTCGGGCACATCGCTGGATCGAGATCAGGCCCAGGTAAACATTGTGGGAGGCTGAGGGAGGAACTGCACACTGAAGGATTTTACCTTCACGCATAGAGTGCACAAATGTACAAAGCCTTTATAGCCATTTAGTGAGAGTTTATTAGTCAGGCAAGAGAGAGAGAGGATGGACTCTGCAAGGCCCTTACAGCCCGGCACTCAGACAAGAGAGAGGAAGGACTCTGCAAGGCCCTTACAGCCCGGCACTCAGACAAGAGAGAGGAAGGACTCTGCAAGGCCCTTACAGCCCGGCACTCAGACAAGAGAGAGGATGGACTCTGCAAGGCCCTTACAGCCCGGCACTCAGACAAGAGAGAGGATGGACTCTGCAAGGCCCTTACAGCCCGGCACTCAGACAAGAGAGAGGAAGGACTCTGCAAGGCCCTTACAGCCCGGCACTCAGACAAGAGAGAGGAAGGACTCTGCAAGGCCCTTACAGCCCAGCACTCAGACAAGAGAGAGGATGGACTCTGCAAGGCCCTTACAGCCCGGCACTCAGACAAGAGAGAGGACGGACTCTGCAAGGCCCTTACAACCCGGCACTCAGACAAGAGAGAGAGGGGACAGACTCTGCAAGGCCCTTACAGCCTGGCACTCAGACAAGAGAGAGGAGGGACTCTGCAAGGCCCTTACAGCCCGGCACTCAGACAAGAGAGAGAGGACGGACTCTGCAAGGCCCTTAGAGCCCGGCACTCAGACAAGAGAGAGGATGGACTCTGCAAGGCCCTTAGAGCCCGGCACTCAGACAAGAGAGAGAGGACGGACTCTGCAAGGCCCTTAGAGCCCGGCACTCAGACAAGAGAGAGGACGGACTCTGCAAGGCCCTTAGAGCCCGGCACTCAGACAAGAGAGAGGATGGACTCTGCAAGGCCCTTAGAGCCCGGCACTCAGACAAGAGAGAGGATGGACTCTGCAAGGCCCTTACAGCCCGGCACTCAGACAAGAGAGAGAGGACGGACTCTGCAAGGCCCTTAGAGCCCGGCACTCAGACAAGAGAGAGAGGACGGACTCTGCAAGGCCCTTAGAGCCCGGCACTCAGACAAGAGAGAGGATGGACTCTGCAAGGCCCTTAGAGCCCGGCACTCAGACAAGAGAGAGAGGACGGACTCTGCAAGGCCCTTAGAGCCCGGCACTCAGACAAGAGAGAGGACGGACTCTGCAAGGCCCTTAGAGCCCAGCACTCAGACAAGAGAGAGGATGGACTCTGCAAGGCCCTTAGAGCCCGGCACTCAGACAAGAGAGAGGATGGACTCTGCAAGGCCCTTACAGCCCGGCACTCAGACAAGAGAGAGGATGGACTCTGCAAGGCCCTTACAGCCCGGCACTCAGACAAGAGAGAGGATGGACTCTGCAAGGCCCTTACAGCCCGGCACTCAGACAAGAGAGAGAGGACGGACTCTGCAAGGCCCTTACAACCCGGCACTCAGACAAGAGAGAGAGGACAGACTCTGCAAGGCCCTTAGAGCCTGGCACTCAGACAAGAGAGAGGAGGGACTCTGCAAGGCCCTTATAGCCTGGCACTCAGACAAGAGAGAGGAGGGACTCTGCAAGGCCCTTACAGCCCGGCACTCAGACTGACAGGGAGACAGAATAGACTCTGCAAGGCCCTTAGAGCCCGGCACTCAGACAAGAGAGAGGATGGACTCTGCAAGGCCCTTACAGCCCGGCACTCAGACAAGAGAGAGGATGGACTCTGCAAGGCCCTTACAGCCCGGCACTCAGACAAGAGAGAGGATGGACTCTGCAAGGCCCTTACAACCCGGCACTCAGACAAGAGAGAGGATGGACTCTGCAAGGCCCTTACAGCCCGGCACTCAGACAAGAGAGAGAGGACGGACTCTGCAAGGCCCTTACAGCCCGGCACTCAGACAGGAGAGAGGATGGACTCTGCAAGGCCCTTAGAGCCCGGCACTCAGACAAGAGAGAGAGGATGGACTCTGCAAGGCCCTTACAGCCCAGCACTCAGACAACAGAGAGGATGGACTCTGCAAGGCCCTTACAGCCCGGCACTCAGACAGGAGAGAGGACGGACTCTGCAAGGCCCTTACAGCCCGGCACTCAGACTGACAGGGAGACAGAATGGACTCTGCAAGGCCCTTACAGCCCGGCACTCAGACAAGAGAGAGAGGAGGGACTCTGCAAGGCCCTTACAGCCCGGCACTCAGCCAAGAGAGAGGATGGACTCTGCAAGGCCCTTACAGCCCGGCACTCAGACTGACAGGGAGACAGAATGGACTCTGCAAGGCCCTTAGAGCCCGGCACTCAGACTGACAGGGAAAGAATACAAATGAGTAATAACAAAGTAAATATTCCTTCAGAGGTATAACACTTGAAGAGTGGAGATTCAGACTGTTACAGACCACTGGTAACCATTTCTCTGAAGAGATCATCTCCCCAACATGTTTTTTTAATTTTGCATGTCAATGGGCTGAGGACTTACCTCAGGGCTTTATACAGTGCCTTGAAAAAGTCTTCATACCCCTTGAAATTTTCCCCATGTTGCCATGTTACAACCAAAAACGTAAATGTATTTTATTGAGATTTGAGGTGATAGACCAACACAAAGTGGCACATAATTGTGAAGTGGAAGGAAAATAAGAAATGGTTTTCAACATTTTTTACAAATAAATATCTAAAAAGTGTGACAAAATGTGGAAAATGTCTGAATCTTTTTTCAAGGGGCCGCAGATAAGTGGTAAGATCTCTTCCCTGAAACCCCAGGCCCACGGACATGCCACGGCCTTTATAAGGGAGGGTCTCATTTTCTCTGCTGCATTTTTCATTTATTTTCTATTGCAGGAAACAGAAGAAAGACTTCCCAGCGGAGGGGGTGACGTTTTTGCAAAATGACCCTTTGAACGCCAAGGAGTAAATGGAACGTCTTTTTATTTATTCATCCAGCTGACACCATAGAAGATTCCATGTGTCTGTCATGTTTGTCACCTTTTATCCAGGATGTTTACAGATTCCATTTATCCCCATGAGCCACCTTTTTAGTTTTGTGCTGTTGCCTAGAAACAATGGTTCAACTGTAAATGCATAAATATTGACGCTTTTGTAATGACTGTGCACAGTAGGGACATGAAAGCTGTAGGCGACAGCCATCTTGTTAAGGTCTCAGCCATTTTGTTTTTCATGAGCAGTGATCTCCCTCCGTCCTCCTGAAAACTGTGGAATTTGTAGCTGTCAGTTTTACTGAACTTCAAAAGTGCCTCTTATCTTAACCACTTGCCCTCCAGAGGATCTACCCCCCTTTCCTGACCAGGCCATATTTTGCAATATGGCGCTGACTTTTTTAACTGATAATTGCGCGGTCATGAAACGCTGCACCCAAATGAAATTTAGGTCCTTTTTATTCCCCACAAATAGCACTTTTGTTGTTTTGTTGTCTTTTGGTGGTAGTTGATCACCTCTGCATTTTTTATTTTTTGAGCTATAAACAAAAAAAGACCGACAGTTTTTAAAAACAAACTATATTTTTGACTTTTTGTTATTAAACATATCCA